CTTGATCTGCCCAAAAATTGTTTTCCGCCGAGTCTACGAAAAGACGTAGAAGGCTCCACAGTCCGACGAAGCTGTTACATCTTGCGCGTAGGTTCTACGGACATCACGTTCGGGGTAATATGCAATCGATCTCCTATACTATACCCGAAGGATGCGGTTACGGCCGGGAACTTGGGCATAGCGCGTCGCTCCGCCGGATATGGTCCAACCGCGCCGCGGTGAGACGCGCTGTCCACCTCGCGGCCCCGAGGCACCCACGTCCTGGGCCCTGTCGAGCCTCCCGCCCCGCGGAGCGGAGCGAAACGCTACCCGCTTGCACGGCATAGCATATCGCTGGGGCCGCCTGGCCGACACGCGCTCCAACAGCACCCCAACGAGCTTGGTGTCGGCGTCACCCCAACGAGCTTGGTGCGTCGCCCCCCCAGGGGCGACGCGCGCACTGAGAAATCGTATAGTAGATGCGTCGTGGCCGGCGCTTTCTGGTCACACCGCTCGGGAAACGATGTACCACACTATGGGTATACTATATGTTCGGGTCGGACGCGCGTCTCCAAGGAGGACATCCCCAGACATGCGACGTCCAGATGTTTTCAATACGGCGTTCCCGGAAATCCCGACCCTTTCCCCAGGACCGGTTTTTCATCCTGCGTCGTTTTTTGACGGCCCCAGGGCCTGGCGAGGGCCTCCAGAGGCCGAACATTGCGAAACAAATCCGTCCTGATTTTTTTACGACGCGAGCATGTCTGGGTCTAGTACTATCATGTCTTGGTGCCTCCCATGGTGGCCTCGCCTTGCCGCCGCCCAGGCTCGCTTCTATCTCTGCCTGCCCGCCCGCGCGCGGGCGCACTCGGCGCGCCTCGGGCGGAGCGTCGCCCCCACAGCCTACCTAAGCTCGGCCACGCGCAGAGGGGGGTAGGGTCAAGTCGGGCATGTCCCTCTACAGGAGGAATATTCAAACATCGTAATATGATGTCGATTATGTTTTGACTATTTTCGAATCTGTTTCGGCTACTTTTCATTTCTCTTCGAACACCCGCCTGTAGGAGGACATGTCCGACATAAGGGCAGGGGGAGGGGGGAGGCTTCTTAGGAGCGCCCCTGCTTCCTAGAAGGCTTTTTAAAGGGAGGTTGCGTCTTAGAAGGCGCGGGCCGTCTCTGTAGACGTAAGGCCCGCGCCTTCACAGAAGCAGCCTCCTTCTAAGAAGCCTCCCCTCCTCCCCCTACCCCTCGCCGAGCGCCGCCAAGAAGGAGAAGAGGGCGAGGACGGGGTGACCCTGAGATCTGGCGTTGCGAAAAAATGGCGACGTCGCGAAAAATCATGCCCGGTGCCCCGGACCCCATCTTTCGGCGTCATTTTTCGAGCCGAATCCAAGGCCAAGGTCTACCGCGTGCGTTTGCCTATTGCAGGTCGGCGCACGGTCGTGTTCCTGGTTTGCCCGGCGAGCCGTAGTTTCGCTTGAAAGCCTGGTGGATAACTTCAGGCATTGATTTTTTCACTTTTTAGTCGTACTTGGCTGCCTGTCTGCCGCCGCTGTGTGTCGTCGCACAGTTCACCGTGTGAGAGGGTCCCGGGGCCCGAGTCTGGGCGCAAACGCCCGTGTCGACGACCCGAAATCCTTCACATCAGTAATTTTGGGTCTCGGAGCCCACAGGGAGGTTTTTCATGTTTTCCATTCGACGTTCCATGAAGCCCGATGTCATTCCGAGGCGCGCGTCGAACGTTTTCGATGGCGCGTCGCGTTATGCCACGTCACATGCGTTGTGGTCGTCAAAGGCTTGCGTGCTTATTGCGGATCGGTTGCGGTGGGCTGGGGTTTCCCAGGATTGTACATTTGCTTTGCGCTGGGGCGGTTTCGCCCCCCATCCCTGGCTGATCCACCCCGCGGGTAACGTCGCAGGAAGAGTTCGAACATTTGGTTCGTAGTGCCAGCGATGCTGTCGCGGACATTGACCGCGCCACGGGGGGGGGGTCGTCCAGAAATTCCCTACCATATTGCAGTGTTGGTTCTTCGTTTTGAAGATACACCGCCCCGCGTCATTCCTTCCGGCCCCCTCCCTCGTCCTCCCTCTTCGCGTATCTGCCCCTGCTCTCCGCGTGTCCCCGTCGTCATCGTCCATCGTCATCGTCGCCATCACCATCATCATCAGCATCATCAGCATTCTCGTCGTCTCCATCATCAATACCACCACCATCCTCATCAACATCATCAAAACACCCCCCTTGTTCCCCCGCGTCTCTGCTTCGCCACATCCCCCGCAAGTCTCGTGGCCTTGTGAGGTGTTCCACCGAAGGCCCCATCGGCAGGGTCCTTAGTGCGCCGCCCAGCCCATGTCGGCACGCCCCTCAGACGCTTCGTGTCCCCATGAGGAGTTCATCGGAGGTCCCGGCGGCAAGGTCCACATGCCGTCGCCCAGGCCACATTGACACACCCTCAAACATTTCGTGCCCCCATAGGCAGCTCCACCAAAAAAAGGTCCCAGCGGCAGGTTTCCCAGGCCGCCGCCCAGCATATTTCGGCATACGTTTCGCACGTTCCGTGGCCCCACGGGGAGCTGCACCGACGGCCCCACAGGCAGGGCCCACAGGCCGCCGCCCAGCCCATTCCGTCATACGGTCACACGCTTCGTGGCCCCATTGGGGAGCACCCCCGATGGCCCAAGCGACAGGGTCCACATGCCGTCGCCCAGCCCATGTCGTCCACGAGTGGCGCCCAGCACGGCTCCAAAAGCGCCCCAAGAGGCGCCGAGTAAGTTGCACCCTCATGCAAATAGTTTTTGTCACTTGTGGGGGTCCTCTTGGGGCCCTCTTGGAGCATTCTTGGGGCCCTCTGGGAGCGTTCTTGGGGCCTTCCCGGGGCCCCAGTGGGCCCCCGGAGGGCCCCGAAAACGTTCCCCGAGGACCCCAAGAGGGACCCCCCAAAGTGGTACAAAGAATTCGCGCGAACGTGCAATCTGTTGTAGGCCTTTCGGGGCCCTCTGGGAGCTCTCTTGGGGCCCCCATTGGTGGCGCCTTGGGGCCTTGGGATGGCTCCAAGAGGCTTCGGGATTGCCCCAGACCGCCACAAGACAGCTCCGAGACGGCCGTCGAGCACCACGGGTGAAAGCAAGTGAGGCTAGGGAAAAGGGCCTCTGGTAAGCCGCCACTGCGCCCCCTGGACTACCCAGACAGCGAGGGGACCTGAAACGCCCTGGGGCTCCAGGGGCCCCAGATTAGTGAAGTGAAGGTTTTTGCCATGCAAGCACCCCGAAATTCTTCACTTCACTAAACCGGACCCAGGACGAACTCGCTACGCTCCAGTCCCGCGGGAGATCCGAGACTCCCGCCGCCGCCCGGGGACGCTGCTGCATTGCGGTGCTCTGGTCACTGTTAATGGCTTCCGCGGGCTGCAGCGGCTCACTTCCATGACTACCCCGACTCACGAATCCAGTGGTTGGTCTGGCTCTATGGGTTGGTTTCGTTGTGTCGGTTGATTTTATGCTTGGTTGGCGGTCGGTGGATTTCGCGTTGTTCATTGGTGTCGTGAAGTGATTTGTCGTTTGGTTGGTCAGTGCCGTTTTGTTGATTCGTGCCGTTTTGTTGGTTGGTGTCGTTTCGTTGGTTGGTGTCGTTTTGTTGCTTGGTGTCGCTTTGTTGCTTGGTGTCCTTTTGTTGGTCGGTGTCGATTTGTTGGTTTGTTGGTTGGTGTCGTTTTGTTGGTTGGTGTCGTTTTGTTGCTTGGCGTCGTCCTGGCGGCGTGGCCGATAATCGTCGGCTTGCAATGGCGCCAGGATTTGTTTCGGGCCAGCCTTGATCGCCCTCATCATTCTCATATTCGTCAGCGTCAGCACTCGTCGCCCCCATCCGCGCACACATGCGGCCCTGGTACGGCTCTCACGCGGCCCTGCGAAGGCCTTCACTGTGCTCCCCAAAGCTTTCTGAGGGGCCCCCCAGAGGCCCCAAGAGGGCACTGGAAATTGTCGCTTCCAACTCCGCCAGGCGGAGGTCAACAAGGGTCTCACTGGTGCACTTCCAGGAATCGTTGTTCGATCCTCTTGGGGCCCTCCTGGGGCCTTCTGGAGCCGTCTTGGAAGCTCCGAGCGGCTCCATGAAGGCGCCGGTCGATATCGCTTCCAATTCCGCCAGGTGGAGTTAGACCAGGGGCTCACTGAGGCCCCTTTTTGCGCCCTCCTCTGCCTTTGAAAAAGCCCCGATGGGGTTCTTCAGTGCCGTCTTAGGGCCCCTAAGAGGCCTCCAGTAGGGTATTGAAGTTATCGCTTCCAACTCCGCCACGCGGAGTTGAACCCAGGGCGGCTCTCTGTGGCCCTTTCGGGGCCTTCTTAGAGCTTTTCTGAGGCCCTAAGTGGGCCCTATGAGGTGTCATTTTCACGGGAGTTGAAAGTGACACCGCGGAGGGCCCTCTTGGGCCGTTCTTGGGGCCTCTCTTGGGTCCCTCTGGGGGCCCTCTTGGTGCCGCCCTGGGGCCTTCTCGGGGCCTTCTTGGAGCCTTTCTGGTGCTCTTTAAGTGGGCCCTGGGAGGTGTCACTTTCAGGGGCGCTGAAAGTGACACCTCGAAGGGCCCGCTTTCCCTCGTAGCGCTGCCCGTGGCCGGGGCATTGTGCAGCGCATTCCTCGTCGAACGCATTTTGTCGGACGCGTGGTCGAATTCCGCCAGTTCGGTCGAGATGGTGGTCAAGCGGTTCGGTTGCAATGTAGCCATGCGGATCTGAGCTTACCATTTCTTGCCATTTTGGCGGGGGTCGCAGGAGCGTTTGTGTTGTGATCAACTGTGCTCGATATATCCAGCGGCAGGGTTTCATCCCAATATATTATTTTGAAAAAGTCAGCAGGGGCCAAATTGGTGATGTGAAGCAACATAGGTCTCGTACCGTGGTGAAAAAATGGCGGGGCCTCACGGGACTTGGGCATCCCATCCCAACCCGAGGAGGAGGAGCAGGAGGAGGAGGAGGAGGAGGAGGAGGAGGAGGAGGAGGAGGAGATTTGGGCATCCCATCCGCGCCAGGATCCTTACTTCTGGGAGCGGCCGTACGCCCTGGAGCCGTCCATGATGCCCACCTTCACGGAGACGAACAGCACCGGCCACGAGCAGAGGCGCCCATGGACCCTCCGGCCCAAACGGGGGAGGCGCGAGGCAAGGCCCGGCAAGGGGGGCCGCTCCAGTGAGGCCCGCAACTCCTCCTCCTCCTCCTCCTCCTCCTCCTCCTCCTCCTCCTCCTCCTCCTCCTCCCCCTCCTTCTCCCACCCCCGCAAACGCAGATGCCACAGCTTGGTTCGCGACCGAACTGCCCCAATTATTGCGCGCAGCTGTTGCGAATTAGTGCGCCGGCACCAGCCAAATCCAGAATTACGCCGCCAGGGGTATCTCTTGCATCTTGACGCAACTATTGCGAGTTATCGAGAGGACGAGTTATTGCATCACAGAACTAGTTCTGGACGCTTCGCGTAACCCCACCAGTGTCCCTTCCACGGTGGCACCGGCGCTCAGCTGCAGGCAGCGCCACCCCCCATCTGCGTATCGCCCCAGTTCTACGTTGACCCGACCATGGCGCTACCACAAAGACGTCGTCTCTGGCTTCATGACAGGTGGAGATAGGCGTGCTCGTTAGCCTCACTTCCGGTATTACTTGTTGTCTGGCTTCACCAGGGGGTGGTCCTGCACGAGTGGTTCATCCTTCTGCGGTTCATGGCCGTTTCCCTAGCAGACCTGTTTGCATCAGCCCCTGTCAGTACTTGCATCGTTGTGCCCCCGAACCGCGAGAGTCGGATACGTTGTGTATGCACTGGCTACAGGCTGGAGGTGGCGCCACCTCGTGCCCGCCGACGGGGTCGCCCTCCTCTCTTGTGCAAGGACGGGCTTCAGCCGAGTTCTGCGCCAGGGAGCCATGGTGAGTGAGGCCGTTCTCTGTGCCGCCCTTTCTTTTTCTTGATGATGCTGTGTGCCCCAGCTGACGTCTCCACCGGCTCTCTTGTCCCTTTCTTGGCCTCGCTTCCGTGTGTCGTTCGGCCGGAGAGGCGCCGCCAGGGCGACTTCTCCCCGCTGTTCCTGTACCGTTCCAGTGCTGGTCGCCGCGCGTTCCCACCCGTTGGGACGCCTGGCTCGATCACCTGGCCACGCTGTACCGCCGTTGCCGCCGCACGTTGCGAGGTGGCGTCCCCGCCCGCCGGGATGTCGGCGTCGGTATTCGGTGTTGAATTTGGGTCATTTTGTCCCTTGCATGTGCATGCGCCTCGTCGGCTAATTATCTTCGTTTCGCGCCCCGTTCGATGCCCCGCTTCCTGACCTTCGCCTGGGAGCCGCCAACAAAAAAAAAGTAACCCCACCAGTCCTTCTCTCTTCTGAGCGGAAGTGAGGTTCGCCTGCTGTCCGTCTCTCCTGCTCGTTCCTGTTATTTTCCTCTTTTCGCCCTCCCCCTTCTGTGCGCTAATTTAGGCCGATGCCTACGCCGCCCGACTTGTCTCGCCGCGGTCGCGATCAAAACAGTAACCCCACCAGCCCATCTTGAAACGATGCCCAGGCGAGTTGCCCTGATCAGGGATGTGGAGGAGCCCGCAGTGGAATAAGAGATTGGGAAAGCCGTCGTGCCCAAAGAGGGGGAAGATGGAGGAGGAATTGGGGTGCCTCGGGGGAGCATCTTGGGGCCTCTTGTTTTTTTTGTTGGGGGGAGCCTCTTGGGGACCTCCTGGAAACTTCTTGGGGCCTCCTGGGCGCCTCTTGGGGCCCTCTTGGGGCATTCTTTGGTGCCTCTGCGGCCATTTTGGGGCCATCTAGGCCGATATCGATTCAATTAGGGCCCCCACGAGGCCAAGATGGGCCCCAAACCTAAGTGAAGTCAATGATGTGTGCCTTCTCGCCGAGGCCATCTTGGACGCTCCCACGGGTCGCGGGGCGCTCCGTCCAGGCCCAGGGGGAGGGGGTAGGGGGGAGGGATGAGCCTTTTTCCCCGAAGGGGAAGAAGTCGTGTTGGGAGTTTGAAACGGGTACGTTTTAAACCACAAACGCACAGAGGGTTTGCGAGTTGTGTTGTGCATTCGCGCGCACGAAACACTATCGCATTCCAACCATAGCTCGGGGTATTGTACGATGTATGTGTGCACTGAACTGATGCATGCACTAGTGCGCACATGCATCCCATAGCCCGCTTTCAGCGATGGTGAGATTGACACATGCCCCTTGAGAGAGGACTCCTCCTGCTCCTGCTCCTGCTCCTGCTGCGCACTATCTTCCTCCTCGTCCTTGTCCTCCTCCTTCCTCATTATCATACCTCCCGTCACTTGTTTATTTCTCTCTCTCTCTCTCCCCCTCTCTCTCTCTAGCTCGTCTGTCTCTGCGCTGCGGCTCTCTCTCTCTCTCTCTCTCTCCCTCTCTTTTTCTCTGCAGGCTTCAACTCGCTCGCTGGACTTCTGAACAGGCATGCGAAGGACTTCGCGATCGGTTGTTGGCGTCCGCTGTCATCGCTCCGCTGGAGAGGCATCATCATCGTCATCATCAGCATCATCATCATCATCATCATCATCATCATCATCACCATCATCATCATCATCATCTTCATCATCGTCATCGTCATCGTCATCAGCATCATCATCAGCAGCATCATCATTAGCATCACCATTACCATCACCATCATCATCACCGCGAGTCGGCGGTTGTCCCCCCCGCGGGAGAGAGGGATCATCATCATTATCATCATCATCATCATTTCCACCATCATCATCGTCATCATCACCACCCGCATCATCATCATCAGCATCATCGTCATTGTCTCCACCATGATGATCACAATCATCATCACCATCGTTATTATCATCATCAGCATCAGTATCATCGTCATCGTCATCCCCATCCTCATCGTAATCATCATCATCCCCATCGTAATCAACATCCTTATCATCCTCATCAGCAGCAACATCATCATCATCATCATCATCATCATCCTCATCATCATCAGCATCACCAGTATTACCATCGTTATCATAATCACCATCAGCATCATCATCATCATCGCCATCGTCATTAGCATCAGTATCATCTCCATCATCTTCACCCCCATCAAGTTCACCATCATCATCGCCAGCCATTGCCATCATCATCACCATCATCAGCATCGCCATCATCATCGTCATCATCAGCATCAGCATCATCATCCTCATCAGCATTTTTCCCATCCTCATCATCATTATCCTCATCATCAGCAGCATAATCATCCCCATCATCACCATCATCCTCATCATCATCATCATCATTATCATCATCATCCCCAGCATCAGCAGCATCATCATCGTCAGCGTCATCATAGTCATCAGCATCATCCTCACCCTCATCCTGACCATCCTTCTCCCCCCTCCCTCATCATCGTCATCAGCATCAGCATCAGCATCATCATAATCATCGTCATCGTCATCATCATCGCCATCATCGTCATAATCATTATCACTATCGTCATCAGCAGCATCATCAACATCGGCAGTATCATCAGCATCAGCATCATCGTAATCCCATCGTCATCGTCATCATCATCATCATCATCATCATCATCATCATCATCATCATCATCATCATCGTCATCATCATCATCCGCATCGTTTTCATTAACATATTCATCATTTAATTATCATCATTCGCATCATCGTCATCGTCATCGTCATCGTCATCGTCATCATCAGCATCAGCATCATCATCATCATCATCATCATCATCATCAGTATCAAACCTTCCCTCCACTGCGCTCCTCCCACTTCCCCGGTACTCCTTCTCCTCCTCCTCTTTCTTCTCCTTCTCTTCTTCCTCCTCCTCCTCCTCCTCCTCCTCCTCCTCCTCCACCTACGGCGGAAAGCACCGAGGGCCCCGCTGATTTGGCACGGCGAGCGGTCTGGGGGGGCGGGGCCCACGGCGGATCGGCCAGAGCACGCGCGGCTTCTTTGACCCAGCGATGGCCCGTGGGCACGCCTCCCCACCAGATTAGTACCGCCACGTGCAGGGGGAGGAAGGGGGAGGAAGGGGGAGGAGGAGAAGGTGGAGGAGGAGTAGGAGGAGGAGGAGGAGGTGGAGGAGGAGGAGGAGGAGAAGAGGAAGGAGGCAGCGGGCAAGCCAGACCGTCCATGACGCGGCCCCCTGAAGTCGAGACGTTGCAGCAGGCACCGCCTTGGGCTCCGGAGGGGCTCTGCTCTCGGGGGGTCGCTCCGTAGATCCTGCTCCAGGAGCCTCTTAGTGGCCGAGGCTCGCCGTGGCCAGGAAAGCCCCTCAGTCCCCTGCTCGGCGCTCCTGGTGGTACGGTCGGGAACTTCTGGATCGCGTGTCGCTCTGCCGGTTCGGGCCCACCACGCGTCCGCGCGAGGCGCTATCCACTTCCCGATTCCCAGGAGTCAGCGTCCCGAGCCTTCCCGAGCCTCCCGCCCCCCGGAGCGGGGCGACACGCTAACCACTCACAAGGGCATGCCGAGTCGCGCGGCGAGACGCTAAGAGAAAGCTCCTGACCGTAGCAGGATGGCTGTGGCGCTTAGCTTCCGCCAGAGCCCGCAGCGACGATTCGGACGCCCGCCGTGCGGTGCCACTAGTAGCAGGGGCGCCGTCCTGCGCGGGCCGCTCAGGTCAGCGCCGGGACTCCTGCGAGCTGGCGCTTTCGCCCTAGGGCCGAGTTGGGTGTGTGTGTGTGTGTGCGTGTGTGCGTGTGTGGGTGAATGTGTCTGTCTGTGTGTGTGTGTGCGTGTGTGTCTGCCCCCCGTGCGGTGTTTCCGCCGTCTCCCTCACGCTCCTGTCCGCTGCACCTGCGCTTCCCGTGATGCCTTCCTCGGCGCTCGCCCCTCGCGGTCACGCCCGTGCCGCCGCCGCCGCGCCGCGTCACTGTCTTGCGTGCACTGGCTGCACAGGTGCTGGCCTTGCGTCTCCTTTCTCGCCTTTCCCCCGCGTCTTCCCCCCCGGCGTCCCTGACCCTTGGCATCGCTCGGACGTGGGCATTTGTGCTCGGCGGGGACCATCGAGGAGCATCTTGGATCAGCTTGCGAGGAAGTAAGCCCACGAAGCCGAGAAATAAACAGGAAATGGACGTCCGAGCGATGACAAGGACCCCTGGGCTTGTGCATAGCATTGTTGATCCCCTTCGGGTGGAGCCCTGCCCCTGGCTTCTGAGCGGACCGACCGCGTGCGTTTCCCGCTTTCCGCTCTTCGACCTGCCACGCCTCGACGCTGCGCGCGAGGCCGCGACGCCAAAGTGTGTGTGCGTGTGTATGTGTACTTCGGCTTTCTCCGCCTCGTAGCTGCGCGCGACGCCGCTATCGCCCAAACAAGTGTGTGCGTGCGTGCGTGCGTGCGTGCGTGCTCCCCTTATCCCTCCTCCTCCAATGTGCACTGCGCGCACGAGGCTGCGGGGGCCGTGACCTGAGCGGCGAACCACCACGAGCGAATCCTGTGCGGGCAGGGGGACGCCCTGAAGCGGGCCATGGTGCGTGACTCCGCTCGGGCGGATGGCAATGGGGTGACCTAAATGGGGGGGGTTTAATAAAAGGGCCCTTTAGAGGGGGACCCCGTTGGGCCCCTTTTGAAGCCAGCAGGGGCCCCCGTTCAGGTCATCCCCTGCCGCCCGCCCGAGATTCCACTGTCAACCTTGGTGTTGATTTTTGCGCGGGCCGATCGGCCCGAGTTTCTGGCAGGAATTCGAAGATGAAAGCCAGAGCTGCTCTCATGTGTCGCAAAGCTAGGCGGCTCAAGAAGCAGTCGGAGCATGTGGGTAGGGCGGCCCTCAGGATCTTCGCTGCTGGCCCCCTCGCTGGAGGGGCCTATGGAGCGGGGATCTTGGGGGTCAGCGATCAACAGCTTCTCGCGATGAGACGCCGAGCTATTTCGACCGTGCGCCCTTTCGCCAAGAGCCGCTCTCTCACGGCTGTCAGCATTCTTTCGAAGGATCCCTGTTGGAGAGCGGCCAGTGCCCCGATACTTCGATGGAGTAAAGAGATATGGATCACTCACACGAGGATATTTGATGGCTCTCTCTCCTTTGAAGACCTTCGGGCTGCGTGGAATGCCGTTTTCTCGCTGGACAGGGTCACTTGGCCCACGGTCAAGGGACCGCTCTCTGCTCCCAGACTTTCGTTGCTGAGGGCACGGTCAGCTGTCCATATAGCGCAGCTGGTGCACGCACGAATCCAACCTTGCTGGGCAGGGGTAAGCTTCTTCGAAGAGCAGGCTGATTTGGGGATGTCCAAACACAAACGCTTCCCAATCCCCCACTTGCCACCCAAGTCCCGCTCCAGACTTCTCAGGTAGGCGTCCTTGCAAAGCGTTTCAAGCAACTTGGGGGAGGTAAGGCCCAGGGAAACCTGATAACCCCGATCGTCAACCACAGTCATGAAGTTGGTCATCCTCCACCCAAGACGGATCCGCTGCCGTGCGGCGGCCGCGGGCCAGGCGCCGCGCTGCTGCCGCCCCTGCGCCGCAGGCGCCGCCGCCGCACGTGCCGGCGCTGGCGGGGCACGGGCTTGGCGCCCCGCGCGCGGCTGGCGCGCCAGCGGCGCGGCCCCGCTCCGCTCCGCGCGGGGGCCCGGGGCTGCGGCGTCGCGCGGCTGCGGCGCGCGCGGCGGCCGCCGGCCGTGCAGCCGCAGGCGCTGCCGCCACGCAGGCCATTTGCGCGGCGCGGGCCGCGGGCCTGCGCCCGTCGTCGGCTCCGCGGGCTGCCGAGCGGCTGGCCGCGCTTCAGGCGAGGTGTCCTTGCTCGCGTGGGCCGCGGGTAGGGCCCCAGGAGCCTGCGCTGCTGTGCTGGCGTTTTCCTCCTCCTCCTCCTCCTCCTCCTCCTCCTCTTCCTCCTCCTCTCCTCCTCCTCCTCCTCCTCCTCCCCTCCTCCTCCTCCTCCTCCTCCTCCTCCTCTTCCTCTGAGGATCACAGGTCCGCTATGGCACCCGTCAGCGCATCTAATTATGTCGACGTATATAGATAGATGCATGTATGTACGTACGTACATACGTATGTATGTATGTATGTATGTGTATGTATGCATGTATGTATGTATGATTGTATGTATGCTTGTATGTATGTTTGTACGCCTGTCTGTCTGTCTGTCTTTCTGTCTGTCTGTCTGTCTGTCTGTCTGTCTGTATGTGTGTATGTATGTATGCATGCATGCATGTATACATGTATGTATGCATGGATGCATATATGTATGTATGAATGTATGTATGTATGTACGTATGTATGTATGTATGGATGGTTGTATGTATGTAATGTATGTAATGTATGTATGTATGTATGCATGAATGTATGTTTGTATGTATTGATGTATGGATGTAGGTGTGTATGTATGTATGCATGTACGTACGTATGTATGTATGTAAGTATGTAATTATGTATGTATGTGTGTATGCATGCATGCATGTATGCATGTATGCATGTATGAATGTATGTTTGTGTGCATGCATGTAAGTATGCATGCATGTATGTATGTATGTGTGTATGTGTGTATGCGTGTGTGTGTGTGTCTGTGTATGTGTGTATGTACGTGCGTACGTGTACGTATGCATGTATGTATGCATGCATGCATACATGCATGTATGCATGTATGTTTATGCCTGTATACACACGTATATGTATACACACATATAAATACAGATATATATGTATATATACATATATATATATACGTACATACATACATACATGCATACATGCATACATGCATACAAACATTCATACATACATACATACATACATAGATACACACATACATACACACATACATACATGCATACATACATACATACATACATACATACATACACACATACATACAAACATACAGACATGCATGCATGCATACATACATATATGCATGCATACATACATACATATATGCATGCACGCATGTATACATACATACATACATACATACATACATACATACATACATGCATGCATGCATGCATGCATGCATGCATGCATGCATACATACATACATACATACATACATACACAGATACATGTCCATACACTTCAGCGCTGTCGGAAGGGATGTGGGGGAGGGATCGGATGTCAGAGATTGGCGCGAGCACGCGTAGCTTGCCTCGCTCCCCTCTCCCATCCCCTCTCTCCTCGTCGCCCTCCATTCTCCCCTGCTTCCCCCCTCTCCAGCTCGGCTCCGAGGCCCCGGGGCTGCGAGGCCCTGCACCTGCTGGGCCTCGCCCCCCCCCCTGGCACCCCTTGCTCTGGTTACCCCCTCTCCTCACGCTCTGCTCCCCCCCCCCGCCCGCTCTCCTGCCCTGACCCACTGCCCTCCCTCCCTGCATCCCTCCCAGTCCATCCCTCCCTGCCCCCACCCCATCCAGGCGCCAGGGCGTCCCCCCCCCCCCCCCCCCCTGCCCCGCCTCACGGCCACACACGACGGGAGGAGACGGAGGGCGGAGGGCGGCGGCGGCGAGGACGACGGGGGGCAAGGCCCACGAGATCGAGGACGGCCAGGGCGAGAGCGCGTGGACGAGGACAAGGACGACGAGGACGAGGACGACGGGGACGAGGACGACGGGGACGAGGACGAGGACGACGGGGACGACGGGCGGCGCGCCGAGGCGCCCCGCCCTGCGCACCATCCGCAACCCGCTCGCGGCCGCCAACGGGGCCGCGGCGACGCTGGCGGCGGAGCGGCGGGGGCTGCCGGAGGCGCGGGGGCCCGCCGCGGTAGGCCCAGGTTCCCTCGAGTCATGGAACACTCGCGATTCGGTAGGTGTTTTTCGCGATGCTCGGCCTCAGAAAAAGCGGCTCGGGACGAAGCGCCAGTCCCGGGGAATGGGTCGAGACCTCTGGGGGCCGACGTTTATACCAAACCGTGACGACTGGGGTCTGGGGAGGAGGAGGGGGAGGAGGAGGATGAACAGGAGGGAGAAAAGGAGGAGGAGGAGGAGGAGGCGGAGGCGGAGGCGGAGCAGGAAAAGGAGAGCGAGGCGGAGGCGGAGGAGGAAGAGAAGAGCGAGGAGGGAGGAGGGGGGGGGGGAGGATGGAGAGGAGGAGGAGAGGAGGAGAGGAGGAGGAGGAGGAGGAGGAGGGAGGAGAGGAGGAGGAGGAGGAGGAGGAGGAGGAGGAGGAAGAGAAGAGGGAGAAGGGAGGAGGGATGAGGAGAGGGAGGAGGGAGGAGGGAGCATTGGATGTCCTCCAGAGGAGGGTGCGGTGGTTTCATGCGTGGCCACCTTTCCGTGGGGGGTGCCAGGTTCCCGGGGGGGGGGGGGGGGGCGTGCGTGACCCCACGGCGACCAGGCTAGGGTCCGCCTTGGCACTGGGGGTGGGGGGAGAGGATGAAGTGGTATGTCATCCACTGCTCCGTCCAGCTCCGCCCCGTCCTCCGGTCGCCACAGACCAGGCCAAAACCGGGCCGCAATAATGGGAACGGGCCAATCGCAGCGGGCCAGGAGTGCCCTCTGGTTGGAGCTCTTGCATGACCTTTCTACCGAGGCCCTGCCACTGCATGGCGCAGATGCAGTGGCGCGGCGTCGGAAGGAAGGGGGGGAGCCACTCCCAGGGAGGGAGAGGGGGGCCCTCCACCTACGCCACTGCGTGTCCAGCCTGGCTCTGCCCGGCCCTCTGGCTCTGGAGGGAGGGAGAGGAGGAGCGGCGTAGGGAAGGAGGATGTGCCGAGCAGAGGAAGGAATTTGCGCTTTTGGTCCCCCGCTGGGCCCCAGAACTTCGACACCGCAAGGTCGATGTCTCTGGCGGGGGTGGCTGCTTCCAGGAACCCCGCCTCCCCTGGGCGGACCGAGAGGATCTCGCTGGCCGCTGCTTCCCTCGATGTCGGAGGCGGGGAGCCGCGCGCTGTCCAGAAGGCCGTTCGCGCCGCGCCTGTGTTGCTGCAGCTTCCTAGAACATGCAGGGTGGGACTGAGAACTTGCCCTTGACAGCACACGCAGACTTGCTAGTGGGCTCTCGACAGGACACCAGACAAGTGGCTCAGGACAAGGAGCTGGAGGCAAGGAGGGAGGAGGGAGGAGGAGGAGGAGGAGGAGGAGGAGGAGGAGGAGGAGGAGGAGGAGGAAGAGGAGGAGGAGGAGGAGGAGGAGGAGGAGGAGGAGGAGGAGGAGGAGGAGAGGGAGGGAGACAGAAGGCAGGAGGAGACGGGAGGGAGAGAGGGAGGAGGGAAAATGGAGGAGACGGAAGGAGAGAGGGAGGGAGGGAGGGAGGGAGGAAAACCGCGGCGGTGGCAGTTGACGCCATCATGAGAAGTTGTAAGGGTGCGGAGGTACGTTGCACCCTCCTCTAGGGACGTCTTCGTTGGCTGAGGGTCCCTAGAGGAGTCCCTAGAGGGCCCCCTCCACGCATCGCTGGAGGAGATTAGGAAGGACGCACGCTACAGCGAGATGAGGGGATGGACGATCGCCACCGAGGACATCTACACAGCCCAGGAGGAGGACACTTGGGTCCCCCACGCTGGGGGGCGCGCCTACGACGTGGACGAGCTTGTCGAGGCGTCGACCACACCGCCGTCGCGGATCGGTCGGAGGGTCTACCGGGTGCTGTACCTCTTCGCGGGCAGGCGCCAGGAGGGGGACCTGGAGGAGGCCATCCACTCGCGGGCGGAGCGCGACGGCTACGATGTCGAGGTCTGGTCCATCGACGCGGTGATCAACCCGAAGCACGACCTCACCAACGACGAGTTTGTCAACCTGATCCTGGGTCTGGCGCGCGACGGGTACTTCCACGCAGTGATCGCTTCGCCCCCATGTTCCACCTGGAGTCGGGCTCGTTTCCTGGGAAAGGTGCCCAGGCCCCTACGGACGCGTCTCGAGCCTTGGGGGCGGAGCGACATGTCCTTCACAGCCTTCGAGCGCCTCCGCCTGGACTTGGGGTCGCGCCTCCTGCTGACGGCCACGCAGGCGGCCCGCGAGATCTGCCGAGCTGGAGGCCTGGGCTTGATGGAGCACCCTGCGGACCCAGAGGAGGACCCATACCCGTCCATCTGGAACCTCCCCGAGATGGCACGCCTCCTCGAGGAGACGGGCGGGCAGATCAAGCGGATCGACCAGTGCCGCTACGGAGCCCCGTCGATGAAACCGACCATGATTGGCATCTTCGGGTTCTACGACGACGCACTGGACCTCGCCGCGGATCGTCTCCGCCTGAGGTGCAACCACCGAGGGAGGCATCAAGCAGTACTCAAGGGACGTGTGGAGCGAGGCCGTCCCGACTTCTGCACCGCCTCCGCCCAGGCGTGCCAGCCGCCGCTGCGCGCCGCGCTGGCGGGGGTGATCATCGAGGCGTTCGCCCGCATAACGAAGGAGATGAGGGGCCCCGATCCAACGGGCTCGCGTGCGTCTCCATCCACGGCGCCCTTCGGCCCACCGGGGCCGGGAAGGGCGAAGATCGAGGTGGGGCGAGGCGATCGAGTCAGAGTCCCCCCGCTGTCCCCTGCCTGGATGCCGCTCGCAAGGCGGCGGCCGCTCTACTTCGGGAGGTGGAGGATCACGGAGCACACGAACATCAGCGAGACGCGGGCCGTGGCGTGCTGCGACACCTGGCCAGATCATCATGGATGTGGAGGCGGAAGGCCCTGATCCTCACCGACAGCATGGTGGCTCTGGGGGCCCTGGGCAAGGGCCGCTCGAGTTCGCCAGCCCTGTTGCGCTTGTGCCGCCAGGCGGCGGCGATCACCATGAGCTTCGCGATCCACGGGCACTACCGCTACGTCCCGTCGGAGCTGAACGTCGCCGACGGCCTCTCTCGGGGGGGCTTTCTCGGCGCGGCGCCCGAGACGGTGGCAGCTCACAGCGATCGACGCCCCGCTCCGACAGACAGCCGAGATCGCGATCTGCGCGACTTGGGCCGCGCGTGTACGGGATACGCTGGTGGCTAGCTGCCCTGGCATTGGAGGCAATCCACCCCGTTGGAGTGGTCCGCCCGAAGCCGCCCAAGGCGGGAGACGCCCCCCTGCAGAAGCGGGGGCCAGGGGCGTGGGACAACTACGAGAAGGAGCCGCACCTGGGCATCAGCGAGGGCGGCTTCACGAGGCTGCTCACCCACTCCGTGGCGGACGTCACCGCGGCGCAGTGGGCCTCGAATGTGCGAGACTTTCTTAGCCACTGCGTCGACAAGGGTTGGGGGCATCGGTCCGCGAACGCCGTGGACCACGCCCTGGCCGACTACATGGACATGAAGTGCTACAAGGACCGGCTCCGCCCCACGTGGGGGTCGATCGTCTTGTTCGGGCTGCTGGTGATTCGGCCTGAGCTGAGGAACCAGCTTCCTCTGGCCTTGCTAAGCCTGAACAGTTGGCAGAGATTGGTTGTCTCTGTGGAGGGGGGCCCTCTGCCTGAGGGGGCCGTCTTCGCCACCGCCATCTACTTTTTCGAGGCGGGGCTCCTGGGCGATGCCATCTGGACCCTCGCGCAGTACGACGTCTACGGACGGGGGCAGGACATGGAGATGCTGCGCGAGGCCGACATCATCTGGGATGGCCGATGCGTGGGCCTCCTGTTCGGCATCTCGGCCAGAGGCGAGGAGGGCAAGACGGGCAGCAACCAAGGGGTCGTCATCCGCCGCGGGACGGTCGCGAACCTCATCCTGGCCCTGAAGGACGTCAAGAAGAAGAACTCCACGGGCCCATCTTCGGCCCCAAGCAGGCAGGCTTCCGCAAGGAGTGGCACCGCGCATGTCGCTCGCTGGGGATGCCCTTGGCGCCGCCGCCGCACGGGCTCCGCCACTCGGGGCCTAGCGAGGACGTGGCCCGAGGACGGGCCAGCCTAGAGCAGGTGCGGAGGCGGGGCAGGTGGAAGGCCCTCTCCAGCGTCCAGCGGTACTCCAAGACGTTCGCCCTCACGCAGTTCCGTGCGAAGATGCCGAAGAAGGTGCTGGACGTGGGCCCCCGTGCGACCTCAGACCTGTCTGCCGAGATTCTCCGCGCGGTGGGTCCCGCACCAACTGCAGCAAGCAGCAGCGGCTGCTGGTCGAAGGCATCAAGACGAATCTGAAGATGAGGAAGGTGAAAGATGTCGCCGCGGAGCTCTTGATGCTGGGGCCCACCACCAAGCAGAAGCAGAAGACCACCACCAAGCAGAAGCCCACCAAGGGCGATGCAAGTTGTCCAGAGTCCGATGACCTGTACTCCGACGAGACGTGGGGAGAGACAACTGGATGGTGGACAGAGCGAGGCGACGGGCCAAGTGGGGGCGCCCCCTGTGGGCGGCCAGGGGCGCCATACAAGGGCTCTCTAGAGGTGGTGGCCTACGGGCGCGACCACCACCCCGCTGTGAGCTTGGCCGTTCGCATGCATTTATCTGTCGTGGTCCCCGCCCGCCCGCCCTGGCCACAACATGAAGTTTTTCGGCTACACCAGGCACATTAAATTCGGGAGTGGGACTGAGAATCTTCTGATGCCGATCGCAACTCGAGTTTTTGATTGTTGTGATTTGGTTGAGGTTATATGGATCTCAATCGGCCTCCCGATGAATGATTATAGATATTTGGCCCGTCTGGGCCCTCGTGCAGTGTGCGGTTGAAACCGTACTTCTTCATAGGCCGCTTCGCGGCGTTGCTGCGCGCCCCGCTGTCCGATACCGCGTTATCCTGTCAGCTTTGCTTGCCCCCCGCCTGCCCCCTGAGACGTAGCGATAATGATCGTTTTCCAAACTTAATTGATCGCGTCGCGGGGTGGTGCGGTTGGGGGGCGGGGTGGGGGG